AAGTCATGAGGACGGCGGGAAGAAGACTTTCCGAGTTCAGTCTGAAGATGAAAAAGCACTTGTAACAGCGATGCTCCACTTGTGGAGTATTACTCTGTAAACCCCAAACAATAAACCTCAGTGTGTCACCTAATTTCACGTCTACGTGTTGCCAGTGTGGAATGAGTGCTATTGGAGTGCCGCAACAAAATATAACCATGAATACGTCACACATTTCACATATGCACCGATTTAGAAGGGACTCAAGCCTTGTTGGTAACTGCCCACTATTGAGTTGGACTCGTCTATTCAGGGTCCAAAAAAACAGAAACCAGACAAACAGACCAAACAGCCATATTTAACTGGGACACTCACAACACTCTCATTCAGTTAAAAGAGGGGAGTTGGACCGCGTAAACATTGCAGTTGTGTAATTTGCCCGCTGCCAATCAGAGCAGCTCCCATTTGGACCCCTCCTCTGCTTCAGACAGATTTATAGTGGCCTCCTGCTCCTCTCTAATGTCACTTCAGCCTCTCAAAGTCTGAGCAGTCAGGGATCCACACAGCTGCAGGATTATGGCACCAGCAAAGAAGGTATGTGTGAACTTTTGTCTAAAGGCTGTTTATGCTTTCAGGATGTGGATGTATATAAGAAGTTATAGAAAGTGACATAATTATTATAACTCTTCTCGATGCCTCTTTTTCTCTCTTGAGTTGGAACCAACTAAACTGACAAGTTTTTTTTCCTTTCAGCTCATGATATAGATGGTGATCATGATAATCTCTAAGAGTGACGTGAGGTATTTCTTCTTGAAATTAGTAAAGGAGTTTCTCTTAATTGCTGTTTTATTATTGTAGAAATTCCAGAATTTGTCATGTTTTATGAAAGGGCAAATACATATAAAAACAAATACAAACAAATAATATAACAGACAAATCTGACTCTCGGTGTGGTTTGACCCGATGGGGATCTGGTGAGCGTTCATGACATGAGCACACACCAGGTGGGGCTTTACTTGGATTTAAATAATTGAATCTATCAATAAAAAATAAAAAAACTATAAACAATCTAGTGGCAGGGCAGTGAATTCAAACTCACCACAGTGACTGCTATTATTCAGACTGAGTGTGGATGCAAATACATTTTGCAGACCCCGGTCTCAAGTGTAATAAAGACCAAGAAAGTGAAAAGAGTTTGTTCACTTTCACTTAATTTCACTTTGAGAGTCAAGCATGTGGCATTCAAAAGGTTCAGGTCTATCAGTCAATGGGAGCCGTGCAGCTGCTCTCTGACATGACATGTGCTGCTTTCTTGATGACTCTCAGGGTCACTGAGAGGTGGGTGGGGGGATGCTGCCCAGGGACTATACTACAAAGTGGTGTGCCGGTGTCAGCTGCTGTCAAGTTGAACATAAACCTACAGACTCTTTGGCCTCAGTGGCTCATCTCCAGCCTGACTGACAGTCACATTCAATCCACATCATTTTGAGCTCACACTGATCCGTCACCACAGGGAATTTTGGAGCGTCTCGACGCTGGAGAGGTCGTGATCGGCGATGGAGGCTTCGTGTTCGCCCTGGAGAAGAGGGGCTACGTGAAGGCCGGTCCCTGGACGCCTGAAGCTGCCGCAGAGCACCCTGAAGCAGGTGAGAATGAGCTGTTGTACAAATTTCAATACTCTGTTTGGACTCTAAATGGCTGCTTCATTATCCTCTGCATTGGTTCCCTGCAAATTACCTTTGCTTGTGCGTCATGTGTCACACTTTAGATGGATTTGCTTGTATGTTTGCTTCATCGTGTGTTGGTTTATTTGATGATTTCAGTGCGACAGCTGCACAGGGAGTTCCTGAGAGCCGGGGCCAATGTCATGCAGACATTCACCTTCTACGCCAGCGATGACAAACTGGAGAACAGGGGCAACAAGGTCACCTACACCGTAAGTCCAATTGGCCATCGCGACACTTTCATAAGAATAAGCAGAACATTCCACAGGTGGCTGGTTGTCCATGCGCTGAAAATTGGCACAAAGGATTCTCAGCTTAGTTTCGCCCATAATTTGTTTTTTTTGACCGCAGGGAGCTCAGATCAATGAGGCCGCCTGCGATTTGGCCCGTGAGGTCGCCAACGAGGGCGACGCCCTGGTGGCCGGTGGAGTGTGTCAGACTCCGTCTTACCTGAGCTGCAAGAGTGAGACAGAAGTGAAGGCCATCTTGAAGAAACAGCTGGACGTGTTCATGAAGAAGAACGTGGACTTCCTGATTGCTGAGGTAGAGATTAAGAAAGATCAAAACATCACTTAATCATAACTGAATTTATCCCTCATTTTCTTTTTCCGTGGATGTTCATAATGTCTCTGTCCTGCAGTACTTTGAGCATGTCGAGGAGGCCGTGTGGGCCGTGGAGGTGCTGAAGGCGACAGGGAAGCCTGTGGCTGCTTCCATGTGCATCGGACCGGAGGGAGACATGCACGGTGTCTCACCTGCAGAGTGTGCCGTCAGGCTGGTCAAAGCCGGTGGGTACAGTGTTCTTTAATACACCCATGAGCACAACCTGTAGTTGGATGCCAAAAGTAAATGTAACTTTAAAATGGTTCACATGAACTCATCTTCTCCTCACATGAGCTCTCTGTAGTGTGACTAGGCAGTATTTCCTGAGGTGGCAAGGGCAAGATTTCTAACCGGTAGACACGAGATAAGACAATCTGTTCGTGGTCTACTGGTATTAAGAATGAATAACTGGGACCAGCCCACGTGCCAAAACATTTCTGTGCGTCGTCCAGTCGCCAGCACAGAAATGTTGACCATCTAAAAGGGAATCAGCCAAATTTGAGATTTGAGAGATTTTACCCAAACCATAAATCCTTAAACCACAGTTGGTTCTGTCTTTTTTCTTCCTCTTATCAGTAACAGCCAGCTCACGCCAATGCATGTTCCCCTGTAGGTGCCCAGATTGTTGGCGTCAACTGCCACTTTGACCCCATGACCTGTGTGCAAGCTGTCAAGATGATGAAGGAGGGAGTGGAGAAGGCCGGGCTGAAGGCTCACTACATGGTGCAGCCCCTGGCATACCACACCCCCGACTGCAACTGTCAGGGATTCATCGACCTGCCAGAATTCCCCTTCGGTAATCAAACACCGCGCTGCATTTTCTTTCAAACATATAACATTACACCTTAAAAATAAGTGCTTTCTCAGTGTGCGTGCGCATACGCCCTCCGGCTGGTGCACTGCATCCCACTGCTGCAAGGTAACCCAAAAGCAACTACGGTTATGGAGTCTAATGTGTATAAATCCCCTGTCAGGTCTGGAGCCCAGGATCCTGTCCCGCTGGGACATGCACAAGTACGCCAGAGAGGCCTTCAACGCTGGCATCCACTTCATCGGTGGCTGCTGTGGATTTGAGCCCTACCACATCAGGGCTGTTGCAGAGGAGCTGGCCCCCGAGAGGGGTTTCCTCCCAGTCGCGTCAGAGAAGCACGGCAACTGGGGTGCTGGTCTAGAGATGCACACCAAGCCCTGGGTCAGAGCCAGGTCAGAGGAGACTTTTGTTACTGAATACCATAAATATGGCACCCTAAAGTGTGAAAAATCAGCTCTTCAAGACCAGTGAGTACTAACTTGTGTGACTCTTTGTCTCTTCTAGAGCCCGCCGTGACTACTGGGAGAACCTGAAGCCGGCATCTGGTCAACCCCTGTGTCCCTCCATGTCTGCCCCCGACAGCTGGGGCGTCACCAAGGGCCACAATGATCTCATGCAGCAGAAAGAGGCCACCTCTCAGGACCAACTCACGCAGCTGTTCGACAGGTCAAAGAGCCACTGAGTCTCCGTCACACAGCCGGCAAGCAGGCCTGGGTCAGACAGCCGTGGCGCGCAGCTACTGACGCAGCACATATAGTGGCATGCACTATATCTGTAAACTGTGCTGCTGTTGGTTGTAAGAAAGAATGCGCAGCCACAGGGGTGTTGTCAAGTTAGGAGTCGGCCCATGTTTAGATCGGGACCTTTTTGTTTTCCATGACTCTGGACCAGTTTGTTTAATAAAAGAAGATCTAATAAAATGTGAATTGGCCACTCGACTGTTGAGATGTAGTTTCTTGCTGTGGATGGGTGGGTGGATTTTTATCAGTTCCATCATCTGTAGATATGTGATGATCATGACACCATGCACACAAACATTTATAACAAATATACTTAAACCATGTCGAAATGGTTCACGTGGAATTTCAGCAAAAGGCTTTAGAGAATCCTGCAATGAATGAGGGATCCAGTAGATGGCGGTGTTGTGATATCATGGCCCACATGAAACTGACCGCACTTACAAAGAGCCTTATAAGAGAGATACGCCACTAGTTAGCAGTAGTGGTAACAAGCTGAGAATGTGTTCATTTCTTGTAAAAGTTATCGCTTATTATTTTAAAGGTTATGATCATTTTAGGTTCACAAGTCAATCTTACAAGACTTTATGTACAGTATTAACTGTACTCCTCATGAGAATACTCAGAAAAAAGTTGCTAACAAGTGATTTATGTCATCAGCGTCATTTCATTTTGAGTTTATGTTACATAAACATGGAGTTATAAGAGATTCACATTAACCAGGCAGGGAGGGCTCCAATGAAAAATGATATTCAGTTACATTATGGAGATTTAGGATGCGGCATTTTGATCCATGAAGGGGACAAATACTGAAGAAATCCAACCTCCGCTGCTTTGATTTTGACCATTCCAGTTATTTTTAGAAAACAGTCTCTTTGTAACTCTTTAACATTATAGAGGGACAAGATGCTAAGCTATATTTGGTTATACTATCTATTATTTGTGCTGTAATCATAGAGTGGGATGATGTTACGTCTACCTCCATTCTATTATATGTCATTACTATGTATTTGCAAAGCAGCTTGAGATTCGTGCTTGTGCTTGACTGTAAATTTTCTGCTGGTGACACATCTTCCATTATAAATGATCTCTGCTACTTTCCTCGTCGTTGATTGGACAAGCCTTCCTTGACCTTTTTTTTTTTATCAAGACGGAGTGGAGTCAGAGATAGGGTACGATATTTGTCTTTGCCCTAGCACAGTAGTCTTGTATTGACATTTTAGGTATCACACAGACAATAGTATTGCCCTTTTAGTAGCTTAATGGGGAATAAAAGTCTTTAAAGCCTCATTTGACCTCGACTGGTTGTGCTTTACAGCGGATTAAGGTATTTTATTGGTCTATTTTTGTATGTCCCTTTTTGACAGGAGGCTAACTCACAACCCGGAATGATAAGGCTGCAGTATGGCCTGAGGATTTGACCTCGCAGGACAACCGCTGGGACAACATATCTGACGGCCGCTTCGCCAGAGAGGTAAAGACATGACTAGACGTAAGGTGACTTTAGCCTATAGAATTAAAGACTCAAAACTCAGCCATGTTATTAACATTCTAGCCTTAGACGATTCATATTATTGCTATATCACCTAAAGATTATTGATGTTATTCATGTAACAGTTGGGCTTCAAGAGAGGCATCTTATCCCCCTCCATCCCTCCGCACCATTCCCATGAACCGCATCCTCTGGAGCACTCTGCGTGTTATGGTATAGATTTAACAGTTTACAATAACAGCACCGCCATCTTGTGGTGTCTTTCGGTAGCTGCACGGAGCGTCTCTATACCGGAAGTGAACCCGCGGGGTCGTCATGGGAAGCAAAGTCAGCTCCAAAATGGCAGCACCCGCCGCCCGAATTATCCAGGTAACAGCGCTCCACAATTTGAATTACGGTAGACATCGGTGTGTTGAGGTCAGATTAACGTTGGACATTAAAAACGTCGCCTTTCCGACGTTCTTTACAGTTGATAAGCTTTTTTAGCGAGGCCTTTTCTGGGTGACAAACACGCCGTACCCTTGTTGATGTCCTTGTTTAACCGCAATATGTTGTCGTGTTGAGACAGCAGCAGCAGCAGAACAAGTCGTTTACTGACTAATTCTACCTGAACAGTCACTGACATTTTAAACGGCTGTCAGCTCAGTCTGTCATGACTGTTAGCTAGAGTCCTCTCTGTTCAGGAGGAAACTAGCTTAGCTTTAGAAAGCTTTGTACAGAGAAGAAGTGGAGCTAAGAAAATAACTTAAAGTTAGGGCAGATACTTATTGTCAATTAACTTATTACGTCGCTCAGTGAATGTTGTCATTTTCGGTTCTCTCGCTCAATGACAAAGATACTGTATCCCAGCAAATATAAAAACAATGTTTAGCGTTATGTGGATTACAACTGCATCCAATCATTTTACATTTTCTTTTTTGGTTAGTTGATGTATTGTTTAGTCTGAAAATAGTTTTAAAAGAATGCCTCACGTTTGCTTAGTTTTGTTCGGTATAAAATTTAGTTTCTAATCACTGATTAAAAAGAAAAAAAATGGCAAAATATTGCACGTTAGAAGCTTGTACCAGGACTCTTGTTCTTGCCTTATGACTTTAACTGTTCATCTCAGTCTGTCACTTGTTTTTTGTCACTCTCATTAGTTGCAGCAATAGTATGAAGCAAAGTTGCTGTTATCTGAGACACTTTGTGTGAGTGTCCTGTCACAGTCTCAGGCTGCGGTCATCACTTCAATCACACAAAAACCTTGTGCTTGTGCTTTTCATCATTCAATTGTTAAATCCACACTGCTGTCTGATCTAATGTGTGTCTGTTTGCAGGCAGTTCGGCCTCACGCTCCTCTGATCAAGTTCCCCCAAAGACAAGACATCGCACGGCCCAATGGTGAGCATGAAGAGAGTGAATGAGGGTTTGATAGTCACTTGATGACCTACATGAACCCACCCTAAAAACAGCTCATGGTGATGTCACTGATACGTAACCTTTTGTTGTTTCATGGTGTAAAAGATAAACATTTAGCGAGGATTGAATGAATGTTATTCTAGAAAATAAGCATTTCCTCATCGATGATTCCTGCTCGGTGCTCCGTGAGTTGCCTTTTTATCATCAGTGACCTTTTTCTTCCTTTCTTCTTCTTTCCTTCTTCTTTCCTTTCCTAGCCCAAGAGGCTTTGAAAACGTTAGCGGTTAACTTCTCCCCACACAGCACCGTGACGCCGCCTCCGTCATCACGACCTCACGTACCTCTTACCCCAATTTCTGGCACGCCAGATTCGCTGGCCTCTATTCAGCTGCTACCTGCAAGGTATCGCAGGAGACCGATGGCGGCGGAGGAAATGGACTACATCCAGGTGAGGGCCCCTCTAGACTTCAGGTATCAGTCAGAACATAACCTCGCTCAAGATAAACCTGCGTTGTACTCTTTGGACTTTAAACTCCTGTAGATTTTAACAGTTGAAATGTGAAGAAAGACATCTTGTAACTAGTTGCAAAAAGCTGAAGGTGTAATCCTAAATAAAGTTTTATCCACAGTGTGAATATTAAGGAGCCTTTATGTCACGTTTCTTGTTCGTACATAATGTTTTTTTACCGATCAGTATTCTATCTTCTTTCTTCACAGCGTGGTGGACCAGAATGACACGAAGCGACTCGGATCACTGCAACCAAAGTCCTTACGTGTGTGACAGTCTGTCTTTAACTCTATTCGTCAGCTCAACCTTTAGCCACGTGAGACGTGATGTAGAATAAAGTCGGTTAAAATGTACATATGCTGATTTATTGATTTTGAAGATGTTAAATCCTTACTATATTTTAAGTTCATACTAAAGGGACATCCTCAGTTTCACACGCAGCAAAGCTACAACTATCCCCAACAGCTTTCCTGATTTTGGTAAACCTTGGTTGACATAACAGCTCAACTCAACATTTTTAATCTTATATATTATACATATAATTTTAGTGCTGCACTTGCAATGCCCCCATGCCTAAATGAAAGCACAAAGCTCTGCTACATAGAAGACAACAATGGGACGGTTAGGGTTACTTAACTGATGCGTTTGTTCGGAGGGATGCTGGATATGGAGTTGCAGTAGTAGTGAGTGGAATGGTGAGTTCATGTGAAATGATTAAAAGAACATTGTATTTTGATCGTGGCGTTCTTATCGTGCTTGATGTAGACAACCACAGAAGAAGAGGACAATATGGTCTTCCAACAGATGAGCGACATGTTTCGGGTTCATTTTCAGGGGTTTTATTGCCGTTACCGTCGCTGGCATGCTCTATATGGCAAACATTAACAACATCGACATTTCACAACAGTGCAGTATGACCTGTGGGGTTTTTCTTTTCTAACTGAGATCCGGTAAGCCGTTTAGCACTCCGATGAATACTGACACAAGCGGCACAGGCGTGACGGAGAGGCGAGCGTACACGTCACCTGTCTGACTGGCAGATTATCATTTCAAGTCTCTCACAGTTTTATTATCTCTCGCCATGAATTAAACACACATGAGAAACACAATTCTGCCTCAGTAAGTACATGTCTGCCTTTTGGCAAAAAAAAAAAAAAAAACATATGAATGCCGTTATAGAACAATTCATGGCTTTACAAAAATACCTCTGGATGCTCAAAAGCCATCATCAAACACGACCGGTGAACTCTATGGAGAAGAAAGTGCAGTATATTCATAGATTAATATTAACACCTACAGCAACTGCCAAGTCACAAATGGGCACAACACGAGAAGAAACACTGAGGTATGCACTGGATTACTCTTGATTATTTTTGGGGGGGGGGAGAATATTCTGTCCTATGCGTGTCTTGGTCATAAACAGCGCCCTTGTTGGTGAGGAATGTTTCTGGTTATTGATCATTGTGGATAGGTATGTTGGAAATGCAGTAGAAGCAATGGATGCCAGGCGATGGGACTCCCGTCAATTGCTCTGTTCCTCCTGTTCCTCATAAGCCGACAGGAAGTCGGCGATGGAGTCCACCACGTAGTCGGGCACCAAGCGGTGTTTGTCGGTCAGCTCGCTGTCCTTGTACTCCTGGGCCTCCTCGAGCTGAGACACGCCGGTGAGGGTGAGCATGGTGTCGAAGCCGCAGTTGGACCCGAACAGCATGTCCACCTCCAGCCGGTCCCCGATCATCAGGCACTGGGCGGGGTCCACCCCCCGGAACTGGCTGGAGATGCACTCGAACATGAAGCGGCTGGGCTTGCCGATCACGGTGGCCTTGCGGCCCGAGGACACCTCCAGGGCTGCAGTGAGGGACCCAGAACCTTCCGGGGGGGGGGTAAAGATGATACAAAAAGGTAAGAGCAGAGTGAATCACTTCCTCTCCTCCAACCCGGGTAAAATTGAGATATTTCTGTATTATGCATTAATATATCAGTTCACGATGCACTACCTTGCTGCATATTTATGCCTCAATAAATGAGTGTTCAATCAAGCCGACACAGACCTGAGGCCAGGTGGTATTTCAGAATGGGAGTACCGGACACTGACTTGGGTTATAGACCGTAATAACGCTGCTCTGTGAACGGTGGGGCCCAGAAGAATGGCTCAATTCAGCCATGGTTAACCCACCGCAGTGTATGATTGTATTCTAGACAACATAAAATGTTTACCGCAGCTAGAATGAGCAGGTTAACATTACGTTCTATTGTTTGGTTCCTGCTGGAGATGAACAGAGGCTGAATCCTCTACAAACCTTCATGTCACAGCAGATTCACGCAAACACTCTCCAATGGGAAACAGGATTAAAACTGGAGTTATTATTATTGGGGGAACTATTTTCTGTCTATGCACTTCAGATAATTAGTAACTGGAAAATATAAAACCAAAGTATGTATTTCCTTAACTCTCATGTTGACACTGACTTCAGTGCCCCCCCATTAAACATTACTGGGGGCGCCCCTGCATCACACTTCCTCCAGGCTCCAGCTCGAGCTGACCTCTCGGGCTCCTGGGCCTGTGCCCGGTCAGTGATCTATACATGGTTGGCACAAACACTCACACACACACACACACAACACTGGAGGGGGCCGAGCTTCAACAGACACAGCCTCATCACCACCATTACCTGGCAGTATCCTTCCACCCGACAAAGGGTGCCAGGGGTCGTTGTCGGTGGCCAGGAACAGACAGTCAGGGTCCCGCAGGTAGCACGAGGCTTTGGCCAGTTTGAGAAAAGTCAGTTTGTCGTCGTGTCCCACCAGCACCGCCTTGACGTCCGGAGCCAGGGCGCAGTCGTAGATGGTGGCGCCCGGTTCGTCCGCCTCCTCCACGCAGGGGATGCCCGCCTCCTCCAGCTCTCTGCGCATTCCGTCGCAGCCCATGACAAACACCTGCCCGCGGACCTTAACGACGTCCCGCAGGTAGAGAGCCGAGCAGTACGACGAGCTGAAGATCTGCTCCAGCATCACGTCGGTGAAGCCCAGCCGGTAGAACTTGTGCACGTAATTCTCCCGGGGCCTGGTGCAGTTGTTGGTGACGAACACGACGTTTTTCCCGTGCCGTATCAGCGAGCTCACCACCTTCGCCGCGCCCGTTATCGCCGTCTCCCCGTGCCATATGACCCCGTCGCAGTCGAAGAGAATGAAGTCCTTCGCCTCGAGCAGTTTCCGAATCTGCGGACCTCGAATCTTCTGGCAGCCTTTGAAGCCAAAGGCGCCTGCCATTCCGGCGTTTTCCTGTGTTTCCTCCGTGTTTCACCTGCTAGTGGTCCCCCATGTCGACGGCTGGTGCATAATGTGCTAACGACCGCGGATGAAATGGTACGAAAACAGACGAATGGTCAATCAAATCACATTGCAGAGTCCTTGGTGCGGTTACATACACGGGCAGCGGGCTACATAAACATTGACGTTAAACCACGCCCACGGTGTCCACACTGACCAATCAAACGGCAGCACTTTAACCAATCAGGCGCGTGTGTGTCACAAGACTTTTATAAGCAACGTCCACTAAAAATTGCATTGCGCCCTCTTGGCAACTGATGGACGCTTATGTGGCATTTTATTTTATGTTTTTTGAATGTACATAAACGCTACATAACTACGCCTATAAAAATATATAGTTGTAGAAGATGTACTCAGATCCTTTACTTGAATAAAAGTATCAATGTGCCTTCTATACTAAAACTACTCTATTATAAATACTATTCATTCAATTTTAATATTTTGGTCACCCAATCTATATAAATGAGAATAGACGAATAAACACCTCTTGATAAAATGCGATACAATTACATCCTCCAAAAGGATCGTACAGTTGAATCAGAGCATCATAACCTGGCAGTAGGATTTAGTGCAGAGCTGTTGTGTTAGATTTGAGAAACCTGCAGCTGTGTGTATGTTTTTGTAAAATATTTATCTGCAAAGAAGCCAAGTACAGCGAGAAACAAATATTTACAGTGATACTTTGGTAGTAATGTACCAGATCCTGAAAGCTGTAACTTTAATTAGAGTATTTAAATAAATATCCTTACTTTTCTACAGCTGAGTATTTCTAGAATCGGCCTTAATTCTGGTCCAGGAAGCCATGATTTATGAGGCACAAGTCTCACTCTCAATGAAGTCTTTTTCTCAGGGCACTAGATGGGGCTCTAACCCACAAACAACACAGATGTGAACTCCAACACACACAGAACAGAGTACACTCATGCAGCCAAACCCCTATAGCCTCCTCTGTCTTACTGAGCCAACAGGAAAGGTTTATATCGAAGCCTATCAAACTTATTTCTTATTCCCTCTTTGAACTTACTGGACAATGTTCTGATGAGCCGTTTGACAAGTGTGCAGCTGTGTATCCACTTCTAATGCCAGCTACAGGTTTGTTTGAACATCCTCTTCCCCCACGTTTGTACAAAATTCACATCAGAGCCCCTGCTTCTCTCTCCGGCTTCAAAAAAGCTTGTTAAACTAATCACGTTTTAAGGGTGTCAATATATAACTAAGGCAAGAATCAAACAAAAGATCCACACACTGTATTATTAAAGGCCATGAGTAATTTAACTGTGCGCCATTTTGATCTAACAGAGATCTTCGTCAGGTATTATCAAACCACCAACACAAGGCAGAACCAGCAATATAAAGACACAAAGACACTCATCATGATGTGATTGTGATCGGCATGATTGTGAGACAATCTGCTCTCGAGTTGGCAAAATCAGAGCAGAGCTGAACGACGCGGTCTGGTGCTCCCACATGGGGGGGGGGGGGCAGAGCACACCTCTGTGAAGAACAAAATACTGAGATCAATATTAGACAAGCATATGTTAAATATAATCATATCAAAAATGTAGTCAAATGTACAGCATAAATCACATTTATCATCCAGAAAAAAACGTTAAAGTAGAAAATAGTAATATATTATTTGCTCTTCTAGACACATAATATATTAATAATTTCTTAATTTCTTCTTTTAAATTGACCTTGATGTTTCGAGTTCCTTTTCTATTAGAGGTGTGCTCTGCCCCTCGTGTGAGAGCACCAGACGGTGTCGTTCAGCTCTGCTCTGATTGGGCCGACTTGAGAGCAGATTGATTCTGAATCGTGCCGATCACGATCACCGTGGGTGATGAATGCGTTTGTGGCCGAATCAGATCACTGTGCAAAATCAAAATGTCGCCCAATCAAAACGTGTAGGGAGCTTTTAATTCACTTCTGCTCGATTCAAGGACACAACCTTTGCACCAACTTCCCCTTTCTGCAGCTTACATGGCTCTGTGATGCGATTATAATGACGTTATTTTAATTTCTTATCTTATTATGCTTTTCACTGCAGGATACCTGAAGCAAACCTGTTTTGAACTCATGGTTGCAAATAAAATAAAATAAAATGAAATAAAATAAAATAAATGATTCAAATTTGAAATTCGAGCCAAACATGTGTTGCAAAATTATAAATTAAATTAAATGCAGTTAAGGTATTAAAATGACTAAAAGTGACACAGCCTATCACTTTTTGTTCCATTGTCTGTTTTATTCAGTGGTATTCGGACCATTATTTCCTCTAACTCTTGTTTGTCTCTGCTTTGTTTCTGTTTCTTCTCTGCTCTATGACTTTCCTGTGTTTCATTTTGCATCATTGTGTTCTTCTTCTGCTTCATTAAAGTTTCCTTTTATTCGCCTCTGTTGTCTTTTTTTTCTTTCTTTCTTTCTCCCAGTGGTCCTGTCCCATCATGCTTTGGCTGCTTTGCCCCGTCTGTTTTGGATTGCGTGCGAGACAGAGGAAGACTCACTGGCACCTGCAACTGCCAAACAGACAAATGAAATGCAGGGAAAGGAATGAAAGAATGGACAGCTGAATGGGCAGAGAACAAGCCGTCCTAATTGGTCATTATTTCCTTGCTAATCTATATTTTCCTCCCTGCTAACCCCCAACACAGATGTGAGAAGTGGGAGGGAGGACAGAATGGCTTGGGTGGGGTGGGGGTGGGGGTCCTTCAAGGCCTGGTCTGCTCTCAACTGTGGCTTGAGCGCTGACCGTGAAACATCGTTGTTCGCTTTTGTGTCTTGTTTAGAAAAGGGGAAGCAGACTCAGTGGAAACCATGAGAGGAGGGAGTGGGGGTCAGAGTTGAGACTTGCAGGTGGTTAATAATTGAAGAGCCAGCAGAGCATAGCGCCGCCCCCAAACACACACATGCACGCACACACACAAACTTTTGCAGGTAGAGCGTATTTATGAGAATTACAATATATTCTATGACTATGACCCAAACCTTGTCTACATCCAAACTAGACAAACAAAGCAGCACACAATAACGTTCACTCATCTACCCTAACGTGGCTCGTGACAACACAAAAGCATTGCTTAGTTAGGGTGTATGTGCGTGTTTGCGCGCGTACTGTCAACCACCGCTGCTTGCAGCACGGCCAGGTCAAAGCGGCACAGAGGTGTTAGGACAATGTGGCGCTGCAGTACAAACGAGACGTCTGGTAGACACGATGGCGCTGGGAGGGGAGAGGTCAGGGCACTTGGTGTTCGGGCTTTTCCACTGAAGTGAAACTGGGAAATACAGTTAGTGAAAATCTTTGCAGTGTACAAAAAAAAATGCTGAAAATGAAAAGCAAAGTTGAGCAACAGTGTCAATGGGATCAAAAAGGCAACTTGTGTTGAAACCACATTTAAACTTTTGGTAATTGTCTTGTTTATTTAAAGGTGAATTGTATGAAACAGTTACAACAAGCATTGCTTATTCATTGAACATCTGCACTATTTTAGGGTAGCGAGAATTCTTTCTTTTGTTTTTTTGAAGTTCCCATATCGGTACAGTATTCAAGTCGAAGATAAATGAGTAACACAGAACGGAGGTTTACATCTGAAACGCTTAGTACAGCACTGCTATTGAATCTTTTTGTGTTTGTCCCTGCTGTTCTTGTTCTTACAGCAAGTCAAGCAGAGAACTACGGGTCCAAGAAGCCCCAGGGAGAGAAGAAGCACCAAGTCCAACAGGTATCTCTGGTACCACGGCTGCGTCAGTGAAGCCGGCCTTAAATGAGCTCCACCTCCACTGTGCAGGATGTGCTCCACCCACTGGGTGAGTCGAAGGGCTGGGGGGACAGGATGGGACTTGTGGATCCTGCTAAGGGACAAAGCTGAAGACTTGAACCTAGAAACGGAGACACAGTTGGGAGAAGAGGAGGGCGGTCACGGACGTCTCTGTGCTCTACTGGCATCACAAATGTCCGTCCACCTACCTGACGTCCTGCATGAGTGTTTGAATGGTGGAGCTGAGCAGTTCCCTGGTGATGTGTGTGGGGTTGATGGTGAGGCCAAGTCCCTTTGTTTCAGCCCTCACCACATTGTCAAACTGGTCCCCAAACAGAGGGATTCCCAGCACAGGAACAGCATGGTACACTGCCTGGAACAGGCTGTTTTGTCCACCGTGGGTGATGAAGACACGTGCTTTTTTGTGGCCTGCGGTAAACAGGAAATAGAGAAAAAACGAAATCACTGAGTGTTTGGAGGTAGTACAGACTGATAAATACACTGGAGTCTTGTGGTATTTCTTTATATATGAAGAGGATAAGAGGGGAGAATGGAGCTGCAGTGCAGCAGTGACCCAGCCTCTGTCTGCTACAGTCTTGGCCCAGTGTCTTCATTATTTTTAGACAATTCCCACAATTCCTGTAACACCTGTAATGGCCTTTTGACAGCCACCATTCACTGTAAACCACCTTTATGTTTGTGCCAAAGGGTTCGGATAAGAGAGGCAGACTGTTCCTACCCAGCAGGTCATTGAGAGGCAGCCAGTCCACTAGCCTAAGATTGGGAGGTCTTTCCAGGTGAGACGGCCATCGCTCTGGGTCATACCTGCAGGCAAAACACTGCGGGCTTAGGAACATTTTTCCCCTTCTATGTATTTTCAAAAATCGAGATCTGTGACAAACCATGCTAACAGTGCCTGTATGAATTGTGCCATGCGTTTACCTCCAGATCACCCCCTGAGGGATCCTAGAGAAGCCAGCCACCAGCTCCACAAGCAGAGCGTCCACAGAGACCGAAGAGACCATCGACCCCAGAGTCACGACAATGAAACCCGCCTCTCCGAATTTGGAGATCCACAACTCAAGATCCTGGGCAATAGAGGAAATACGCAAAAAGGGGACACTTGCGAGGTTGAGTGCGGCAGAATGAGTGAGACATGGTTGCGTAGTTTGAAAAGCTCCCGGATGTGTTCGCATAGGTGTATCAAGAGAAGAGACCTGCTCCGGAGGCTTCGCTGGTTTATTCAGTAGACCTCCCACCAGCACAGTGTAGGGCATGAGAGGCTGGGGGAACTCCAGGGAGAAGTCGGTGTTGAAGGCCCACAGTTCAGCTCCTTGATGCAGCTCCTCCAGACCTCCAGGGGGCGAGCCTGACTCGAGGTGGTGCTCGGCTACTTCCCTAAAAGTCGACCATACAAGTCCCTGGACTTCGATACGAGACACATTTAAAAAGTTACCAAAATTATTGAATGCCACTCAGATTGAATTATTATAGGTAATTTCTTGTCAGTGGGTATTAGCTAAACCACTTACTGGCTAGTTGCAGACATTCTTTCTGGAACATATTGTTCCAGATAGATTAGGCATGTTACAAATGAGAGGAGAATGAGGTATGAGAAGAAATAGAGTGCTCCTTTGGAATAATAACATGTCTAGGGGGGCTTTTACATTGTACACTGAAGATGTTATTAAGTAAGCCAGATAATACCCCTTGACAATATGTGATCTCCTATGTACCTATGTATTCTTACCTATGGGAGCCAAGAGAGAATAAAAGAGGTTATTTGCTCGACCCAAAAGGTTCATTTGGTCAGACAGCTGGGAGCTGGAGACTGGGATGTAGGAGACTGGGCTGGGGAGAGCGACAGACAGAGGACCGTTCAGAGTGCCAGGATAGAAAGCTATGTAGTGGATACCTGGAGGAAATCAAGAGTAGAGGGAATGGAACTGATGTAGCCAGATTTAAATGAATAAAACTCTATAAATCTGAATTAGCACATTTAAAAACAACTGGAAATACTAAAGTGCAAAGGTACTGATGGGTAATATACAAAGTTAGAAATTTAAAGGATGATGGTAATTATGACAAAAACCAAAGTGATAAGGACAGCCGGTGTACCGAGTTTGCGTGCCAGGATGAAGGAGCAGGGGTTGAACGCATCAAGGATGGCGACGTCGTAGCGCTCCCTCTGGAGGAAAGTTATTATCTCTTTGTCCCCTAGCAGCCTGTCACACTGATAGGACAGGTGCCCCATGAAGTTTAGGAAGTTATTTAAGTTGTCCCTGAGAGAAAGAGGAAGGAAGGGAAAATGAGAAAGACAAACAGAGAGGCAAAGGGGAGTGTGATACAAATATTTTCAACTATTTCAACTACAGAAGCTTAAAAGAGAAACAAATTGGGCATCATATTAGGATAAATTAAAGCGCCACAAAATGCTGACGGTCAACCAGACTCCAGACCGAAAACGAGATCAAAAGAGCGTGTTTCTCCCAACATGATTCAATCGATGTAACCGAGTCTGCCCAATATACCTTCCCAGCAAAAACTGTGTTTGTTGCTCCAGGAACCAGCCGTTGTACTCTTTGATGTATTTCTCTCCTAAGGACCAGGTGGTCCTCTGGTAACTGTCTGCACGGGCTGCATAGGAAAATCCTGGGAGAATTCAACCGCAATCTGAAGTCATTTACATGAAGATTAAAGTGACTGCATCAGAGAAAATATGAGAAAGAAAGTTTCTTTTCTGTATCTGTATGTTTGTGTGTGTGTGTGTACAGTTTACCTGTAATAACAGGGTTTCCCAGTTGCAAGAGCATGCAGACCTCATGGCCGTGCTGATGCAGGTTATGAGAAATTTCATCTAATAACAAGTAGTGGCTTCCTCCTGGAGGGGAGAAGAAAAGACAAAACTAAATGACTGTGCTGTCGCTATGCTGTCTGAACACATTGCTTATTGTTTATTTTTTTGCACAATTTAAAAAAATACACAAACATAACAGAGATAAATAATATCAGTGCAGGAAGAGGCAGAAAGTCCTCTGAGCTTATTTGAAGCCTCCACCTATATAATATTAAAATGTCACAATATGGCTGTTTGCAACAAAACACGTGAATTTGCATTTTATAATCATACTGGAGCAAATTGAACTCTTTAAGCAACCTCTACCTTTTACTGCACTTTCCTCGCTCACCATTCCCACAAGGAGTTATGCTCATTCTTCTCATATTTCTAAACAAATATTCACAATGAATGTTTCTATTATTATTAGTAAAGGTCATTTCAACACTTCTCCGCTACTCACCAATTAGACTGACAGTCAGGATCTTGGCAGACTGAAGCACTGGAAGAGCCAGAAGAGAAAACATCCAAAATACAATCCCCATGTCGTGAATAGAGTACCACACGCTGACCTGCAGCCAAAGTCCTCCGAAAATAGTCTTCCAATTCCAAAATAAACTGGAATGAAAACCTTGCTGCGTGAACTGGATTCCTTGTAAAGAGAAAGTTTGCCCTTTTAACTCACTAATACAGTGACAAAGTTGAATCCAGGGAGTAACTGGTGCTGGAGTTGTATCCAGACAAATGAAGAATATCCCACAAGATATTAGCAGGAAAGAAAACGCGGGATTACCAACGTAAAACTGAGAAAATGAAACATTCTTGATAAAATCCTCTTTTCAGTGCACCACAACAATCCTGAAAGTCTTCTTTTTGATCTTGTGTCCGTTTGAGCCACGAAGACTCCTTCATACAGTTTGCAGTGTCATGTCGACACGGGGGGGAAAAAAACAAAATCCTTGTTCAATGTACCTAGAATGTATCCAGTATGCTTTTTCACGCCTCAAACGTAAAAGCTCCGACATTAAGGCGCGGATTTATTCCTTATCATTCAGGAGGCTTTGGATGCAAAGTCTGCGAGTATGAGTCTGTCTATGTGGCACATGTGAGCAGCTCTGTTTTCTCTACAAGTCAGACACTGAGAGGTCCGAGAGCCTCGGACCTGCAGCGATCATAGAAGGGAGGGACGGAGAAAAAGGGAGGTGGGTCAGAGGGGTGGCTCCCCAAGCCCTCGTTGTATCAAATTAGAGAAATGTTAACAGGAGTAACATTCTCTCAAGGCTGCATGCACATTAACGTGACTGGTGGACAGAGAGCAGTGACTAAATAGAGTAGCTACCGGGACATATCGCTGCTGAGTGGACTGTCATAGGGTTGTGGGTGCCCTGGCAGGCATTTGCTGGCAAGTCAGGCTTGACATGTAGGTTATCCTGGACAATGTGCTCATTGTGACCGTGACCAATGCTGTTCTGTGTCAGAGAGGTCATTAGAAGAACAAGTCAGTCAGAAAAACTGCTGGAGTGTGTCAGGAGAAAAAAGAGGGGTCAATCCTGCCATCATTGATTTTATTGTTGTCATTTCATTTATGGTGTCATTCCAACCGTCATCAGTTATAGACATGTCTACATGCTGACACAAGTTGTGTCGCGGATGGATTTATTCAACACTTCAAACACTTTAAGTAATGAGAACACTTGTGTAGATATCATTCTTCAGGAATCTCTCGGTCATCCTGATGGGCCAGTAGCACTCTATGAATGTTCTGAGAGGCGGAGAGAGAGAGAGAGTGAGAGAGAGAGAGAGAGAGAGAGAGAGAGA